AGGGGGGGGAAGAAAACCAGGGAAAGACACAACTAAAAAAGAGAACTACAGGCCAATCTCCCTCATGAACATAGATGCAAAAATACTCAATAAAATCCTAGCAAATAGAATACAGCAAATCATCAAGAAGATCATACAGAGGCTGGTGAGATGGCTCAGTGGTCTAAAGCACCTACTTAGATCAAGCTAAACTAAGCAAAGCACAGGGACCGCAGTTCAATCCCCTAGCACCACGTGCCAGCCAGCCCCGCCCCCTGGTGGGCTGAACTGGCCACACACGCACAAAATAAATAAAATTAAAACTTTAAAAAAATAATAAAATTAAATACTTTAAAAAAAAAGAAGATCATATGCCATGACCAGGTTGGATTCATCCCAGGGATGCAAGAATGGTTCAATATTCAAAAATCTATAAATGTAACATACTGTATCAATAGAGCAAAATCTAAAAACCATATGATCATCTCAATTGATGCAGAAAAGGCTTTTGACAAAGTCCAACACTCATTCATGTTCAAAGTCTTACAGAAAATTGGAATAGAAGACTTCTACTTCAATCTGATAAAAGCCATCTATGACAACCCAATAGCTAATATAATTCTAAATGAGGAAAAACTGAAATCTTTTACTCTCAGATCTGGTACAAGGCAAGGATGTTCCTCTATCACTCCTGTTCAATATAGTTCTGGAATCATTAGCTAGAGCCATTAGACAAGAAGGAGAAATAAAAGGAATAAGAATAGATAAAGAAGAAATTAAAATATCATTATTTGCAGATGACATGATACTTTACTTGGAAGACCCAAAACACTCCACCCAGAAGCTACTAGAATTGATACACAAATTCAGTAGCATAGCAGGATACAAAGTCAATACCCAAAAGTCAATAGCATTCCTCTACACAGATAACGAACACACTGAGAGGGAAATTAGAGAAACAATATCTTTTACAATAACACCACGGAAAATGAAATACCTTGGAATTCATCTAACTAAAGAAGTCAAAGATCTTTTCACAGAAAATTACAGTTCTCTGAAAAAAGAGATCATAGAGGATTTCAGAAAATGGAAAGATATTCCCTGCTCCTGGATAGGAAGAATCAACATCGTGAAAATGGCCATACTCCCAAAATTGTTTTACAGATTTAATGCAATTCCTATCAAACTACCACCAACATACCTCTCAGACCTAGAGAAATCGTTCCTAAAATTTATTTGGGACCAGAAAAGACCAAGAATAGCAAAGGCAATACTAGCCAACAAAGACAAGACAGGAGACATTACAATTCCTGACTTGAAATTATACTACAAATCTACTCTGATAAAATCAGCATGGTATTGGCAACAAAATAGACCTGACGATCAATGAAATAGATTAGAAGATGCAGAGACCTCTATGAACACACTCAGCCACCTGATCTTTGACAAAGGGGCCAAACACACTTACTGGAAGAAAGCCTCTTTAACAAATGGTGTTGGAAAAACTGGTTCTCTACATGACAGAAACTAAAACTTGACCCAGATCTATCACTATGCACTAAGCTAAAGTCAAAATGGATTAAAGACCTGAACATTAAAACAGAAATACTAAATCTCCTGGAAGAGAAAGTAGGAGGAACTCTTGAAGACATAGGGGTATGCAAAGAGTTCATGAACAAAAATCAAATTGCACGGGTAATACTTGAAAGAATTAACAACTGGGACCACCTCTTATTAAGAAGTTTTTCCACGTCAAAAGAAGTTACCAATAAAGTGAAAAGACAACACACAAATTTCGAAAAAATCTTAACTAATAAACACTCAGAGGCCTGGAGAGATGGCTCAGTGGTCTAAAGCACCTACTTGGAACAAGCTTGGCAAAGCACAGGGACCGCGGTTCGATCCTCCAGCACCACATGCCGGCCAGCCACGCCCCCTGGTGGGCTGAGCTGGCCACACACACACACACTAAATAAATGTTAAAAAAAAATTTAAAAAAATTAAAATAAAAATAAAATAAACACTCAGACAAAGGTCTGCTCTCTAGAATTTATAAAGAACTAAAAAACATTAGGGCCCCTAAATTTAAAGACCCAATCCAGAAAAGGGCATCTGAGATGAACACACACTTCTTAGAGGACAAAATTAAAGAAGCGAATAAATATATGAAAAAATGCTCCACATCACTAGCCAATACATGAAATGCAAATTAAAACAACACTGAGATACCATCTCACCCCAGAAAGAATGGCTATCATAAACAAATCAACCAACAACAAATGTTGGAGAGGCTGTGGGGAAAAGGGAGCCCTTCTCTACTGCTGGTGGGAATGTAGACTGGTACAACCATTATGGAAATCAGTGTGGAGACTCCTTAAAAAACTAGGACTGGAAACCCATTCAAGCCAGCTATCCCCCTACTGGGGATTTTTCCGGAGGAACTGAAAACATCATATCATAGTGATATATGCGTACCTATGTTTATAGCAGCACAATTTGTGACAGCCAAATCTTGGAAACAACCAAGATGCCTATCACATGAGGAATGGTTGAAAAAGATGTAGTATTTCTATACAATGGAGTATTAGTCAGCTATAAAGAATGATAAACTCGAAGCTTTCATATTTAAGTGGATGCCACTTGAAGATATACTTATAAGCAAAATAAACCAGACCTACATGTGT